CCCGACCCAAACCCGTCAGTTCTCGATTCGGGTACCCGTTCGGGTATTTAATTTATGAAGAACCGCTCGGTTCGGGTTCGGCTTCGGTCCGGTTCGGTTCGGGACTTTTGGACACCCCTAATCAGAGAAACAATTTGTTTTATGTTGACAGTACTATGACACTTGCAGAAATGCTTTATGGAAGAAAGTCTTTTCAGAATTTCTTAAAGTTAGTTGAGCTTTAGTGTGTGCTTACTTAATGTTGAGCTTCACTTGTGTATGGATTCGTACTGATGGCTAGTAGTTCTTGCATTTTTCATGCAACCTTTTCTAGTTATCTAGGACAAAGAAAAGGCTTTACTGCTCCATTAATGATGGTAACATTTGATTTGATTCTGTTACCTTTGCATTTGTAATAAATAGAATCAAAGTACATTCATTTTATTTGTACCCTGTTATTACTATATGATGCATAAAAATTTTCCACTGTGCTCTCTTTTTCAGGAGAAGAAAGGCGTAGAGGACTTTGGGGATGTCATTAGAGAGGGAGGTGGTGCACTAGCTAAAGGCCTATTTCGAGGAGTTACTGGAATTTTAACAAAGCCTCTTGAAGGTGCAAAAGCATCAGGTGTCGAAGGTTTTGTTCAGGGTGTTGGAAAAGGTTTGATAGGTGCTGCTGCCCAACCTGTAAGTGGGGTTTTGGATCTCTTGTCAAAAACTACAGAAGGTGCAAATGCTATGAGAATGAAGATAGCATCTGCTATTGCTTCAGAAGATCAACTCCTTCGTAGGAGGCTGCCTAGAGTTATTAGTGGGGATAATTTACTTCGTCCTTATGATGAGTACAAAGCACGGGGACAGGTATGTTGCTCCTTTGCTGTTCTATAGCACTGAATCCTCTTAAATTTAGAAGTTAGGTACTAATGATTTAACACTGGAAGACTTGACATTATAGAATGTTTATATTTTTTAATATGCATTACATATCAACTGGACATACCTCCTCTTCACTTGTTCAAAGGACACCTATATCCGTAGTTCAGAAGTAAATTCTACTTGTTGATTTTAGAAAATTTATGCTATCAAGGATGCCAATAGCAGTTGTTTCAGTATCAAAATGATTAGCCAATAATTATCATGTGATCTGTTTGCAACAATATTTTCTTTTTCCCCTGAGAAAAACCAATATCCTATTTGAAATTAGAATGTAGACCAGCTTTTGCTTTCTTGTATTTCATCCATGATATACCTAGAAATATATTTGGAGGAACAAATGTTCACATATTTTATTCTCAGAAAATATCACAAAACTTTGCATAATTCTGTATTTTATATAATCGAGAATTTCTTTAGTATTGAATGACAAGGACTTACTTAGCGTAAAGGACTCGAGAAAAAAAAAAAGGGAAATGTGGAAAGCCTTCCTTTCCATGTTAGGATCATAACAATTGTTCTTAAAAATTTTTATCGGCTATGTATAGAATTTCCTTGTATATATTAAGCTTTAATTTACACCAGGATCTAATTTTGCTCATTAAGATTTGACTAAATCTCAATATTCTCATATTTTTTGTAATGAAGGCAACACTGCAATTAGCAGAATCTGGATCATTTTTCGGCCAGGTTGATCTGTTTAAAGTACGTGGGAAGTTTGCCTTAACAGATGCTTATGAAGACCATTTTGCTCTTCCTAAAGGAAGAATAATCATGGTCACTCACAGGAGGGTCCTATTATTGCAAGTGAGTATTTCAACTGGACAACACTGGTCTGACGGATCTGTTATTATGGATTATAATTTAACATGCTTATAGTATGCTTGCTGAGCAGTACTTTATGGGCCTATGTAGTACTATGAACTAGGTTTAACTTTTTTTTCTTATTTACTACCGTCCGGTACTGTGTATCAGATGTGCACATAGAGTTCTGTCTGGTTTTCTGGCATCCAAACTCTAATGGTTCCTTTATGTTGTTTCCAGCAAACATCTAACGTTATCGCCCAGAAAAAGTTCAACCCAGCTAGAGACCCTTGTTCAGTGCTGTGGGATGTAACATGGGATGACCTGGTGATTATGGAAGTGACACCGGGAAAAAAAGATCATCCAAATGCCCCACCTTCACGGGTTAAACTTTATTTACGAAGTAGATCAGATACAAGGGATCAATTTCGAATTATAAAGTGTAACCGTGAATCCAATCAGGCATTTGAGGTTTTTTCTTCAATTGAGCAAGCAAGATCTACTTATGGATCAACCCAATCAAAGGTTGTGTTTCGAACTCCCACTTTTTTACTTTCCAGCTTTTATTAGATTTCATACTTAATCAAAGTCCAAATTAAAATAAGGGTTGAAATCACCAGATACTCGAGTTTTTGAAAGAATTGATGGAGAACATCCAGTAATTCTTATTTGTTACGATTGATTGATTTTTGCTGTTATTGTTTTTTATTTACTTTACTCCGTCGAAATACCAGGATTTGCTGAAAAGAAAAGTAACAAAACCCTATTCTCCAGCCGTTGAAGTAATTCCAAAAGGAGTTGGTGCCTTGTCTCCACAACAGATGCCAGCATCAGTATATCTAAGTTCAACTTTTGGGAGCAATGAACCTTGACTGGTGTCTCAGGTAAATGGTTAATCCTTGAAATATGCCTTTTACCTGAGAATAATGGTATTTTTCAAGACGGCTGATGGTCGGTGGTCTAGGTAATCAATCAATTGACCATCAACAGTCTACATAGATAGTATGAATCCAAATCAATATAACAAAAATGTGTTGCTTCCAAAACATTTATAGTCTAACATTGTCAAGTTATCTTCGTTGTTAGTAATCGGGCAGGCTCAAATGACAAGATGTTAAGGATGCTGGACTTATGGATGAGTTTTCGCTGGCATTGAGCCCTGGAGAGAATGGAAATGCCGTTTTTTCTTTGAAGTTGGGGCATGACCAGGTTACCCATTCCCTTTGTCACAACTCATTATAGTTTTCGAGAGAGAAGTAGAAGTATATGGATATCTCACGGCTCACCTAAAGACCTTTTACAGATAAAAAAAATGTACAGGTGTGTGTATCCTTTGTACATATATATATATGTTTTAAGCATTTAATTATATGCAAGCTTCTAATTTCCGAATTTTGGCCACACCTTGTAGCAAACAAGCACATAGTAAATTTGAACATTTTCATGATTGCGCGTGTGATGAGTATTGGTAAGAGAACTTTCTTTGATTGGATTTTTGGTTAATTATCAAATATAATTAATTAATTTGAGATTATGACTTGTGAAGAAATACATACCTTGCTTTTTTCAGTGGTCAAGACTTTATAGAGACCCACCCAATGGCCAAAAAAACACACGTAAGCTTTAATGCTCTGACTCATCCTCACACTAATCGAGGATAGGAATCTATTGAGTTCACACTTTCTAATTCTGGCACATTAATATGCGTAATTATTCTAATCTTTTTTAGTAAGTTTCATCAAAATTATTATCTGAGAGGCGACTTGAATTAGAGATGCACCATAGCTTTGCAAAATTATTGACTATTAGGGCCGTATTGAAAGATTAACTTCTGATTTGAGATCTTATTTTCTACATGATTGCAAAATTGTGAACCATCTAATAGGGATGACAAAAAAACTCGTTCAGTTCGATCCTCGTGTAGACGGGGGCGAGGGTTATTATCCTGAAGCAGGTACAGAAAATATAGTCCCTGTCCTGTTTAAAGTTAATTTCAAATATAAGTTTTTTATTGAATAAAAATAATGAATTTATTATCATTTTTTAAAAAGAACGTGAGTTATTTTTAACAAATTAGTAAAAAAAATAAATATTATTACTAGTTAAAGACAAAAAAAAAATTAAAATAAATAAATAAGTGGGGCAATAAATGTCGGCCCCTATCCCGTCCTGTCTTAATCAGTCATAAGGATGGAACAAAGTAATAAAAATACTCGACGGGACTGGGGTGAAAATAGCTGATCCGTCACGTTGCCATCTCTACCACTTGAATACACTAATCATACCCGTTTTGATGCTTATCATATTGAATTTTAAAGTTTTATTTTTAGAATGACAATGTTAATGTAAAATTTTACTCTTAAAAAATATGTAATTTTTCTCAATTTGGATTCAAGATACAACAAAATAAATAAGGATGGCCAAATAATCTGCTCTAGCCCTGTATTGCATTTTTCCCGGGCGGAACCTGCCCATAATTCCTTTTATTGTATTTTATGATTGACAATATAAATATATTTAAAAATAAAAGTATCATAATAAATAAGTAATGGATAGTAAATTGTGTTATTTAATTTCGTCCTGCCTCGACTCTCAAAAAATACACAGCAAGGTTGGGACGGGACGGCGGCCCCGCCTCTATCACGTCTCGTCCTATTTAAAATTTTAGAACTTGAATTAATTAGAACGTGTTTTGTTAGGATTTATTTTTTTATTTTCTTTTCGAGATTACTTGTCGAAATAAATAATGCTAGGGACTTTTGCCGACCTTCTAATATTCCACGCCGCTGGATTTTCACATGGTTTATTTTATTTCAAATAATCCTACCCGTCAAATTAACGAAACCTAACCCTATATATATATATAAGCCAATTTTTCCAGTTAAGAATTCCTCAAAATTAATCTCTTTTACAATCAAAATAAGCTATATTTCCTGCGATTCAGTAAGCAATTCCACTACTATCATCAAAAATGGTGGCAGAACCAGAGATTTTGTCCCCGCAAAGCGTTTCCGTTCAGTACTTTAGCGCCAAAAAGTCGACCGATATTGAAGCCGAATTCTTCGATGTCTCATCGGCGGCGGTAGCGGCGGCTCCTACTGGTATTACTACTACGCCGCATAAATCTCAGATCTTCGTCGCCTCCGAATCGGAGATTTCAATCGAAATCTGTCGTTCTGAATCGGTATGACATTTATATTGAAGTCCTCTTTTTTTTTTCGTGTTTTTGAATCTTGATTCGTGATTTGTGCCAGTAATACTAGTTATTGAAATGATTGTTTCTTTCTTGGGTTTGCGATTCGTTTTTTAACCCACCCAGATGACTATTTTTGTATTTGTGGGAGAAACTATGGTTCTTGTTATTTTTCTTAGGAAAGACGCTTCTCTTGGTTAGTCAAGATCAATTTTTATTTTTTTACTTTTTCAATATTGACGAGTATATATCGCGTGTATGTTTTTTGTGCGCGTTTGTTATGCTACTTGAAGGATGTTTCTATTGCCAAAGTATATGGGAGTTGTATTTTTTGGGGATTAACTTGATTTGGCTAAAAATATTTCTTGATGTGTACTTTCATTGCTTTCTGAAGAAACTTGTTGGGGGCATAAACAGTAATATTTAACCTAAAATATTGAGAATGGAATATGGATAATTTATCGTATGGATGATCTGATAGTAATCTAATACTTGCTTGATCTAAAAGCTAAAGCAAAGCTGTGACAAATTGCATTTTGTCTAGTTTCAGTAAGAATTTCTCTTGGTAATTGAATAATAAATAAATATTCTCCACAAGAATTAGTACATAGTAGAATAAATTTTGGAGAAGATATTCAACATGATTGATTCCCTGTGAGTTAAATGTATGAATAATTGTTTGAGGTTCCATTCAATATAAGACTCGCTCTGGTCTTATGTTTGCTTATACTATTGAGGTTTATCATTGGATATATATATTCTAAAAAAGATGTCTTATTCTGTCAACAGGCTCGTAGCTGCTCAACGAGTGGCCAGATTACCACTGTTTTCGAGAGTCCGAGTAGCAAATTTGTTCCGAGCATTTGCTCAGGTAGTCACTCAGATATTGGACCCCGTTGTTCCAATGAGGATGAACACATTCGGATTGACGACTTATATGCGCATTTAGGTTCTCTGTACAAGTGGTCTCAACCAAGTGCCTTCTATGCTGTTTTTGACGGCCATGGAGGCTCAGATGCGGCAGCTTATGTCAAAAATAATGCCATGAAATTCTTTTTTGAGGATGCCAGTTTGCCTCAAACTTCTGATAATGACGAAAAATTCTTGCAAGATTTGGAGAGAGCTCAACGCAATGCATTTTCATTGATTGATCTTGCCTTGGCTGATGAACAAAATGGTGTTGATTCGTACTGTGGAACAACAGCAATTACCGCCTTGGTCCTTGGAAGGCATTTACTTATTGCAAATGTGGGTGACTGCCGTGCTGTCCTCTGCAGAAAAGGAGTTGCAGTTCAGTTATCTCAAGATCACAGACCCTCGTGTCAGCTGGAACGGCAAAGGGTTGAGAATTTAGGTGGTATCATTGAGTATGAGTTCCTAAACGGTGAACTTGCTGTTACTCGAGCACTCGGAGACTGGTACATGAAACTCCCATTAGGTTCAGCTTCTCCTCTAACTGCAGAGCCAGATATTCAACGGACTTTGTTGTCCGAGGATGATGAGTTCTTGATAATCGGTTGTGATGGGATCTGGGATGTGATGTCGAACCAGGAAGCAGTTAGCCTAGTTCGCCGTGAGCTTAGGCATACTCATAACCCCCACCAGTGTGCACGAGAACTTGTGAATCAAGCATTAAGGCAAGATACAGGTGACAACCTCACAGCCATTGTTGTTTGCTTCTCTTCCCTAGAGCGACAAAATTCTGTTGTTTCTCAGAGACCAAGATTGAGATTTTGCCTGTCCAAGGAAGCAAGAAAGAAGTTGCAGAGCCTATTAGGAGGCAATTAAATTGCAGGAATGCAAAAGTAACTTTTTTGCCTTTCGACAAATCAGGATGCAAAGCACAGAACCGATGGATAATTCTTGATAATTCTTCATTGATGGAGGCTTAGCCATCTATCTCATCCAGCCACAGTTTCCAATAAGCACAGACCACACGCTCACTGAGAGGCTTCAATTTTATGGTATAGATATGTAAGAAGATAATAATATCTAAACTATGGAATGTCTTTTATTGCTGTATGTAAATATAGAGCAAGTATTTTATTTTTAGTTCTTTTGCGTCGAGAAGACTGAACCACATTAAATTTAAATATAAATAGAAATAGAAATCCTTTTGATTTGGCTTTTGTAATTTACTGTATTTATTTATTTTTTTTTTAATAATCGTGGCAAGAATAATTTATTATCAATGAAAGTGGATAAAAATTTAAAATACTTTGCAAAATACAAATTGTCCACGTTCTTAATTGACGGTCCAGATTGACTGCAACCAATAGCATCGACGATTCTGCTAAAAGTTAGACTAATCGCCCTCTACTAGTCCCATAATCCAACGGTTGTAATCCTGCATGGCACAATCCACCAATAAACAAAATAGTTTAGTTTTAGGGAAACTTCACATTCAGTCCCCAACATTTAGTGTATCTTACTAATTCGTCATCGATGTCTGAACTTTAACTTCCGAGTTTCTCCCTTTAGTGTATTTGAAGCAATGAATCCTTTTTAACACATCATTTTGATGTTAAATCATGGCTCTGCACACGCTCGATCATTTTTTTTCTTTTCAATATGAAAGATAAAGTATGTCGTTATAAAATCATAATGACATGATCTGAATTCCTTCTCAATCACAACCGACCCAGAGCAGAAGTTCTTCCTCTAGGCCGCCTTCTCTCATGCCAGCCGTCTTTTATTTCTAGTCAATTGTTTTATGACGAACTTTCCTATTTTTTGAGCTTTACTCGCTCCGTTTCCAATTCTAATAATTGAAAAACGATATTTCTTTGGGGGTTAAAAATTCACGATTAGTGACTTGTGGCATGTACAATCATTTTAACATCAAAACTGCCTAGTATACGATGGACTGATTCTGCTAAGGGCACTAAACATAAGAGGGCGTAAAATGAAAATTTAAAAGTGGGGGATGAATTAGTAAGAATCTAAAAAGATTGGAGATTAAATGTGCAATATTTGCTTTTAGTTTAATTAACCAAAGCATGTTCTAAGTTCACCTCCTCCATTCACCACTGTATATAGCAGGCTCTAAACCTAAACATTCGAAAAGAATAGATTTTCCGATTTCACATTCAAAGCTTGACAGATATGGCGATGGCTAGTATTTCCAGGCGAAAAGCCACTACAGTTTTTTCATCATGGAGGCATTTGTACAGAAATTCCTCGAAGTACTCGTCGATTGTGAACAGGGGATACTCTGTATCGTCGGGATCTGACGAGAACGACGTCGTTGTGATAGGTGGTGGGCCAGGCGGATACGTGGCTGCCATAAAGGCCGCCCAGCTTGGGCTCAAGACTACATGTATTGAGAAGCGGGGTGCTCTCGGTGGAACTTGCCTCATTTTTTTTTTTTTTTTGGTTGACTGAGTTTGTGTTTGTTATGCTTTGTTTGGATTTTGAGAATTATGCTTGTTTGATATGTATTTGATTGAAGAATGAAGATTGAGCATGTCCATGTTTTGTCTGTGTTTTTCTATATTCGTTTGAGAATTTATGGTTCCTTTTTATATGTACAAGATTTGTGCTTTACTAGTAATTGTGCTTTATTAGTAATTGTAATTTGTAATTATGTGCTGATAATGTTTCACGCGGTGGAATTGATGATTTACATTCATAATTTGGTGAAAGCTTTAATCTTTTTCCGTTGTACCGTAGGCACTGTGATTGAGTGATGGATTTAATTCTAAGTGTGTGATATTTTCATCAGCGTTGAAGGTAAGAGAATGTGCATTTGGTGCAGTGGAAAGCTTCTTATTTTTGTTTCAATTTATCATCTTTATTTTTATTTCTATAATACATCCTATCTAGTCAGAGCAAGAGAAATGTGATAGTTGCTTTTGGCTCATCTCTTATTAAAAAGTATTTGCTCGAGTAGGTTCAATGACATTTGATGACTATTGGTGGAATTTACTTATCTAGGGTGAGTATAAAAAGAGAAGAATGCTCATGACGCTGTAGTTTCTGATGTTTGTGAAGGATAACTTTTTTTTTTCCTTCCCTTTCCTGATGGGATGGGGGAGTAAGATTAAGTGGAACTAGAAATAGCAGACTTTCAAGGGATGCCATATAATTGATTTGGTACATGAAATAGTTTGACATATAGTAATTCAATAGTACTCATCTCTATTTCGCAACAGATAATTATGGCAAGTCCTCAACATTAATGAACTCAGTATATCAGCTGCCCAACTGGATATCATAAGTTTTATATTATTTGTTACCTGGTGTAGCTTATTTTATGTTACATGGAGAGTTGTATATATGGTTGTCCCTTTGTTATCTGTCTTCTGAGTAAATACGATCTTTAGCTTGGCAGTTTTATTGCGGAATTTTATATAATGATGGTTAGCTCATTCTTTGGAGAACTGAGAAAGCCAGTTATGAGAGAGACTTCAAAGGAACACTCATTCATTTAACTTCTATTTGAACTGATTTGCACTGAACTGTTTCGAGTCAACATTTTGAGCAACATGCTGAATTTGTTATATTTCTATATCATACAAAGTTAGCAAATTATTAGATTAATGGAATTGAATTTGGTTTTCTGTGAACTATTAAGAATGCTGATTTCCTATTGTGGAATTGTCATTTGGTTTTTGGACTTGTCTTGTGGCAAATTTCTATAGGAATTCCTAGTTTAAAGCCAGCCATTCGTCACCAAATGAAATAGATACCTATGTAGTAGGTATCTGGTTTTTATGTTTGTTTTTAATTACTGTGAATTGGTCTTCACAATTTAAAATTTATTTTCGCTGTCTTAATTTGGCAATTAATGCCTGCAGGCCCTTCTTCATTCCTCCCATATGTATCATGAAGCCACGCATTCATTTGCAAGTCATGGTGTGAAATTATCTTCTGTTGAGGTTGATCTATCTGCTATGATGGCCCAAAAAGACAAAGCTGTGGGTAACTTAACAAAAGGCATTGAAGGTTTATTCAAGAAGAATAAAGTAACCTATGTTAAGGGGTATGGAAAGTTCCTCTCCCCATCAGAAGTTTCTGTTGATACTATTGAAGGTGGTAACACTGTTGTCAAAGGCAAGAATATCATAATTGCCACTGGTTCAGATGTCAAAAGTCTACCAGGGATAACCATTGATGAAAAGAGAATTGTATCATCTACTGGGGCTTTAGCCCTATCAGAAGTTCCTAAGAAACTTGTTGTTATTGGTGCTGGTTATATTGGTCTTGAAATGGGCTCTGTGTGGGGACGTCTAGGGTCAGAGGTCACTGTTGTTGAATTTGCAGCAGACATTGTTCCGACCATGGATGGAGAAGTCCGAAAGCAATTTCAACGTTCCCTTGAGAAGCAGAAGATGAAATTCATGCTCAAAACAAAGGTGATTTCTGTAGTGACAGCAGGGAATACTGTGAAGTTGACACTTGAACCAGCAGCTGGTGGTGATCAGACCACTCTTGAAGCTGATGTTGTTCTTGTGTCTGCTGGCAGAGTTCCATTTACTGCTGGACTTGGATTGGACAAGATAGGAGTTGAAACTGATAAGGCTGGTCGTATCTTAGTGAATCATCGGTTTGGCACCAATGTACCAGGGGTATATGCTATTGGTGATGTTATTCCTGGACCTATGTTGGCTCACAAAGCAGAAGAGGATGGTTTTGCATGCGTGGAATATATTGCGGGCAAAGAAGGTCACGTAGATTATGATATGGTTCCTGGAGTTGTTTACACGCACCCTGAGGTGGCATCTGTAGGGAAAACCGAGGAGCAGGTAAAAGCACTCGGAGTTGATTACCGTGTAGGAAAGTTCCCTTTCTTGGCAAACAGCAGGGCCAAGGCAATTGACGATGCTGAGGGAGTGGTTAAGATACTTGCCGAAAAGGAGACTGACAAGATATTGGGTGTTCACATCATGTCACCTAATGCAGGGGAACTCATTCATGAGGCCGTTTTGGCTTTGCATTATGGAGCATCAAGCGAGGACATTGCACGCACATGCCACGCACATCCAACAATGAGCGAGGCCTTGAAGGAAGCCGCCATGGCCACTTATGACAAGCCCATTCACATTTAGAAGTCATGTTATATTTTTGTTTTGAGTTAAATCTTTTCAAGAATTTGATTGAAACAAGTACAGTTTCATAGACTCCTGCTCTCTTTTCTTTTGGGGTCACTGTCTTGTACTTGAATGCATATGTCGATATTAGTAATAACTCTTGAGGTGTACACTACCTAAAGGCACTAGTGCTAATGACCCTTAATGAGAATAGTCATTAAAACTGGACCGGTCAGTCTGGTTGAAATCATGAAATGGGAAAAAACCTATTCCCTAAGTTATACTGCTGATGAGTAAACATGTTGAATAACACCAGCCTCTGATAGCACCAGAACTGATGTTTCTCTCCCTTCGAGTCATTCACACAATCCAATGGCTCGTCCATGTATATATCCAACCATTTCTCGACCAGCATCTTTATGTCGTCTCTATGCACGTTTTCTTCTTTACCAGTGTATCTTCATGGTTTCGCTCCCTGTAACTTTGAATTGAAAATCATACAAGAATGTGTTATTAATTCATTTATCCTTGTTTTTGCAGACTACATACTAGTGTTCTAAAAAACGTAAAGAGTGGCTAAACATGAAAGAGAAACTTTAAACTTTACGAGCTTAAACTATCTTAGGCGGCTTAGCCGTAAAAAACAAGTTTTCTTATTTTTAATATTATTTTAAGTTTTTAATCATTTTAAAAGTCATTTAATAATTAAAATAATCCATATCAAATATCTAAAATCATAAAATAGTATATTTACTT